GTAAAAAACTGGGAATATAAACAAGAAAATGCTGTTAGACTTTTGAGGGAAGAGCTTGAAAACTTGAGAAAACAACAACATGAAGTTAAGCTTAAAAATTTAGATATCTTTGAACAACATCGTTTTGAAGGTGATAAACATCCGGTTTCTGTGCTGGATGAAGGTTATGAAAATTTTCAAGATGTACCCGAGAAAAAAAATGATGTTATTGCTGAAGATAAACGGGTAGAAATAGATGCTGAATATGATACAGTTATATATTGGAAGCAAAAGGCATTGCATTTGGGAAAATTGTTGGAAGAAAGTGTTGAGAGAGAGCATATCCTTTTGGAGAAGTTGGAGGAAAGCATTGAGAATATTGAAAAACAATCATCGCCTGTTGAAGAACTGTCCCAGATCTTGAAAAGATCTGATAATTTTTTACATTTTGTTCTTCAAAATGCACCCGTTGTTATTGGCCATCAGGTAATTTGATTTCAAGCAAACCCTTTTTCTTTTGTTCCTCCCTTTTTACATTGTGATTGTCATATCTCAGGACAATGAGTTGCGATATCGCTTCATTTATAATCATTTTCCAAGTTTACAAGAAGAGGTAATATGATGTCATCAAATTTTATAAACTCAAATTTATTGTTTGTTGTAAGTTAATAGATTTTTGAACCATGTCTTTTTTTTTCCTTATACTATGCATAGGATATAATCGGGAAAACAGATGAGGAAATATTCAAAGGTGGTGGTGTAAAGGAATCCCAAGACTTCAAAAGAGAAGTTCTTGAAAGAGGATTACCAGCAAAAAGAGAAATTACTTTTGAAAACGAATTATTTGGTGACAAAACATTTTTATTATATGTTGAACCTGTTTTCAGCAAAGATGGAGAAACAATCGGTGTTAATTACATGGGCATGGACATCACTGATCAGGTACCTTCTTTGTTTTGTCTATTATAACATCCTACTTTTATCTTTTCTTTTACTTGGAAAAATTTACCCAATTCACTTTTATAATTTGATAGATTTTTCAATGAAAGTAGGATATGCGATTTCTTGTACTTTGTCCTCACTTCTAATATATATTTTTTATCATGTGACAGGTTAGAAAGAGAGAAAAGATGGCAAAACTCCAGGAAGAAATAGCTGTGAAGAAGGCTAAAGAGGAAGAACTTAATAAAACCATTAATATTACAGGTTGGTAACTTTTCTTTCTCTTAAACCTTATAATTTTTTTTTATATATAAAAAGTATTATCGAACATTTTGCTTAAATCAATTTCTTTTAGAGGAAACTATGAGAGTGAAACAAATGTTGGCAACCATGTCACATGAGATAAGATCTCCATTATCCGGGGTTGTTAGCATGGCAGAGATTTTATCAACTACAAAACTCGATAAGGATCAAAAACAACTCTTGGATGTTATGTTATCTTCTGCTGATTTAGTTCTTCAACTTATAAATGAAATTCTTGATCAATCCAAAGTCGAGTCAGGTTATTTTTCATCCCTTTATAATTTGTATTTTTTTAATAGACTGATATTTATACTGTGTAGTATTTAAAAGTTTAGATTATTTTCAGGAGTTATGAAGCTGGAAGCCACAAAATTTAGGCCTAGAGAAGTAATCAATGATGTTGTTCAAACTGTTGCTGCATCATTGAAAAAGAAGCTGATTTTGGAAGGACACGTAGCAGATGATGTCCCATTGGAGGTTTAATCTCTAATCTTGATACAATTTGCTATAAAAAGAAAACATTTATGTTAACATTTGTTAAACAATTTCAGATTATTGGTGATGTTCTTTGGATTCGACAGATTCTCACCAACTTGATCAGGTATTTCTAAGCAGGTCAAAATGGTCCATACACAACAAATTCTAAACTCATGAATTTTGTGCAGCAATGCTATTAAGTTTACTCACCAAGGGAAGGTCGAGATAAATCTATATGTAATATCAGATCCATATCCTCAACATGAACCGAAGAAGATAAACACAGATGACTCATCGATCTCAGCAAAAGACAATCGGCATGAGGAGAATGATCCTCAATCGCATGAAACGGTAGTCTGGATACGCTGTGATGTTAAAGATACAGGAATCGGAATACCAGGTACCTTTCAAATTCCTAATTTCTCATTTTCGTAGCTTCATGTTAACTACAATATTTCATTCATCGATTTGATCGATGTCAGAAACTGCATTGCCGAATTTATTCAAAAAATACTCGCAAGCCAGTGCAGATACAGCTAGGAAATACGATGGGACTGGATTAGGTTTAGCGATCTGCAAACAATTGGTAATGATTCTGGATTCGGAATCGAAATCGGAATGTGAGAACGAAATTGGTTTTGACCTAAAATCCGTGTGAATCATGATTTATCGCAGGTTGAGCTGATGGGAGGACATCTGACTGTATCGAGTAAAGAACATTGTGGATCTACATTTACTTTCGATTTACCTCATAAAGTTCCACATCCGTGGTTCAGATGATATGGCCGATAACGACGAGTCTGAAGATGACGACATCACTTGTGATGTCGGAGCAGAGAAGACAAGAAACTAGAGCTCTTTGGTAATTGTTAAATATAGGTCGACTTGAACGAAATTTACAAAGGTTTGTTCCTAACTTGGGGTATTCCGCGTTTCTTTCTGCTTCAATAAATTTGTTATTTATTTACGTGTAGTGAAACTGAAAGCAGTAAGACAAAACTCATGAAAATAAGTTGCTGTTCCTTACATTTAATCAATCATAATATGAAAGTTTTTATTCGTTTAGTGTTTACTCAAGTTGTATTAAAAAATTCCGATAATTAATTATGTAAATGATTTTAAAATTAAAGGCTAAATGCAAGATACGGCGACATACTTTACTTTATTGGTAGCTAAAGCAAAAGTCAAGGGAACTACATTTTTTCTATTTGAAACTGTGGAAAACACTTGCTAACACGCTGTATCATCTGTAAGCCGTATGTCACCAGTAAATAGAAACTCATAATTTACCATGCATCAAATTAACCATGGGTCTATATTAATAGCCAGTTTTCTTTTAGATCAATTTTTAAAGTAAAAACTCAAAAAGGTAGCTAAAAGATGTAACTAAAATGAATTCAAAGAGGGGAGGTCCAGGATCTAACTAAACTAAAAGAAAATCGAAGAAAGCACCTCAAAATCCATTGACCTTCCCCATGAAAATACAGATCCACTCTGTTTTATTGGAAAGAGCTCTTGCACGTAAAGAGAAATGTTTCAAATACAACTTGTTGCAAGTGGAGAAAACCATCTGGATATACCCATGAAAGTTGATTTGTCTACCGGTGGAGAAGCATATGCAAAAATCAGGAACATGTGAGTTTCTGCTTACACTTGTCTGCATTTGAAAGTTTCAACAAAAATCAAAATGATAATTTTTTAAACACGTAAATCTCGAACATTCATTTTACTAGAACATCATTTCGTTCTAAACCATATTTTCTGTCTCAATACTTGAATTCCCAAGTAGTATTTCACAACTAGATTATATTCATCAACAATAAGACTTTCTGATATTGGGACAAGAACTTATCGTATATGATATACATGCTTATGCTGGGATAATATCTCTCGTTTACCTTCATATTAATTTCATAAAGAAAGATGAGTTATTAAAGTTAACAACTCACAATAAAAGCCAAAGTTAAATGGAAAAGCGTACAAATTGTTGCAACGTCAACATCTTGGAACAGCAGATGGTCTCCTCTACTTTTGTTCTGTTTTTAAGTCTAATCTCAAAAACAGAGACTACAGAATAAATCAAAATCGACCTATCTTTCAGATTTTTCAATACTTGAATACCCAAGTAGGAAAGTACTAATTCACAACTAAATCATATTCATCAACAATAGGACTTTCTGATATTGGGACAAGAGCTTATCATTTATGATATAGTACATGCTTAAGCTTGGATAATCTCTAAAGTCTGCTTTTTGAGTCAAAGCAAAATCTATTATTTAATTTTTCATATATTAATAAATAAACTACAAGAGGTCAAAGACAAAGGAAGGGTTTACCTTCATATTAATTTTATAATTCCTGGGGGATATGGGAGATAAGGGGCCTCTTCTAATAATCTTTCTTGGGCATCTTTGGGCAGTTATCAATAGCAAGATGCTGGAGAGAGGTGAGTTGAGGTGTTGCAATCCCATTGAGAACTGCTTTAAACTTCTGAAATTGGCCTACCAAATTTCAGAAAGCAAAGATTAGAGTTACTAAAGTTAAATTACAAATAAATGTCAAAAGTCATATGTAAAAGAGTACAAATTGTTGTGACTTCAACATCTCACAACAGCAGATGGTCTCCTCTGTTTTTGTACTTTTATAAGTCTAAATCTCAAAAACAGAGACTACAGACAGAATAAATCAAAATCAACCTATTTAATGAAACTTTCATTTTCTTACACCATGTGACATACAATATGTGGTAAATTGCTAATCGGTTTTGTTAGTATTATCCATTCGTTAGATGGATCATTAAATAAAGAACATATTAATTGACATTTTCAAATGGATAAAGTGATACGTAGCTATCAGGAAATACATTATTCTAAAAATCTCATGTACGTGAAGCGATTCATTATTTGAACATATTCATAATTTGTTTGTTTCTACTTTTCAATCATTATTACAAAGATGTCAAAATCTAACTTCTACAACTTTATCAAATAATACAAACTCGACGATCAATACTAATTCACAAATTATGTTAGGATTTTGAATCTTTTGTTTTTATTAAAAAATTGAGGTATTTACACAACTTCAATCATATTCAATAACAAGAAAACAAAAAAGAAGCACTTGCATGTCCATGTTAACAACCATATATTGACATGCAAACATATTTTTTATTATATAAATGTTTATGTTGATATAATATTTGCATTTTCCTGATTGAATGAAAGCAAAATCAATTATTATATTTATAATTTATCAAAGGCAGAGGGAGAAACATACCTTCATATTAAGTTTGTAACTGCTTAGAATATGAAGGTGAAGGGGATAAGGGAGATGAGGGGCCAGTAGGAGCCTCTTTTACTAGTCATTTCTTTCAGATGTGGGCATCCTTCAATTTCCAAACTCAAAAGTGAAGGCAGCAACATTTCTGGTAGATCTATCATCTTTGGGCAGTCCCAAATGAAGAGATGCTGGAGGGATGCGAGGTGTTGGAGTCCCATTGAAACTGATTCCACTTTCTCAAATCCATTTATTTCAAGAGTAGTAAGAGATGAAGGAAGAAGATGGGACAACTGACTGAAATTACACACGTCGTCCAACTGTCCACCTATTAACCACAGTTCCACAAGTGAGGTTGGAAAAGTCTGTGGGCCCCACTTTGAAATGGGCTTCTTCAACCCCCCTATGCTAAGTGAACATAATTTTGGAGGCCAAAGCCCACCAGAAAAGGAAGCATCCATACTTTGACAATATGTAATTGACAAATGTATTAGCACAGTGAGATTTGGCAACTCGTGGTCAGGAAATGACTCCATATTTGGACAATTTGTTATTACGAGTTCCCTGAGGTGATTGAAGGAACTCAACTCAGTGATCGATTTCAGATTTGGCCAATTATGTATAATTACAGATTCAAGCATGAGTATGTCTGAGTTGATCAGAGGCTTCTGATCCTTTTCCAACAGATTATCACAATTCTGGATGAAAAGTGACTTGAGGCTATTTGGACAGCTGCAATGCTCCAAGCTGTCACAACCGAATAAGGTCAAGCTCGTAAGAGATGTTAGGTTGCTCCCACAATTATCCTCCTCTTTCTCTCCTAAACTCACCAAATTTGAACAACCTTCTACTACCAACTTCCTTAAATTCACAAGAACCTTACTTGCCTCGGCTTCTGATTCCCACAAGTATCTTATTTCATCACACTCATAGATGTTTACTTCTTCAACTGCTCCAAGATGCTCTATAACACCTCCCCACACCTGATCATTAAGTCCAGAAATACGACTTAACTCCAGCTCGTTGATCGATGAAGCTGCATGGACCAAACTTTTTAACACTTCATGGTCACAACCAATTATCGTTAGAACCCTCAGTGAAGGTAATGCTTCAAGGGAGACTCTAACCAAATTAGGACAACTTCTAATGCAAAGCTCTCGAAGGACTGGAAACGTTGTGATGACAACCCCATTATTATTGTTTGACCATGCCTCCCACCCTTTCATATCTCGAAAACTTAGAGTTTCAAGTGAAGGGAATGCAAGACCAGTCCCAAGCAACTCCGGACCCACAACTTTTACCTCATCCATACCTCCAATAGCCAAATTCTTAAGTGATGGTAACTGCCCAAGTGGCGGTAGAGATGTACACTTTTTACAGCCGCTTATCTTAACATGAGTCAGCTGACCAAACGAGGGATCCCTAACCCAACTTGGAAACTCTATACCTCCATATGACACAATTTTCAGTTCTTTTAGACTATCACTACAAGGCTTCAGCACATTCAGGACCTCCTTTTCAATTGTTTCTTTTCGAGAACCATCAAATTCATCACTCCATTCCAACTCTAACTCACATGGCTTCTTTTCAGATAAGTTTGCTTCCTGTGCATGCATTGAGCCTTGCACTTTTTCCAGCCCCTTAACAGAAATTTTCCACTGGAGATCATTTAAATCTTTACGCTCAATTATTGAAAATCCATTGCCTCCTTCAATAACCATCCCATAGAGAGCTTGTAGACTTTTCAACTCAAGAATCCCTAAGGGCATCTTCCTCAAACATGGAGTATCCCTCATGTCAAAATGCCGCAAATTTTTAAGCTTTAAGAAGCTCTCGGGTAACTTTTTCAAACTTTTACAGCCAGAAACAATCAACGTCTGTAAATTATAAAGGTTGCTGACATTATCCGATAAATATGTGATTCTGGTTCGAGATAAATTAAGATAACGCAAGTGCTTCAAACTAGAAATGGATTCAGGTAACTTGCTTATACTAAGTTGACACAAACTGAGGACCCTTAACAAAGGTAACTCTTGAAGTAAGTCATCAAGGACCTTATTTGATAAGAAAAATGTTCTCCAACTTTCTTTTTTCCCAGCATACACTGCTAAGAATGTTCTCAAATTTCCAGCTCCTTTGAATGCTTCGAACCTTTTGTAAACCATGTACTTCTCACAAACCAATGAGAAATGGCGTTGCTTTTCCAAAGCTTCCTTCCTAAATTCCATCTTCATCTCAATGTCTAACCTTGAAAAAAAATCTCCTGCCACAGATGTTGCCAAGTCATTCATGATATCATGCATCACAAACAATGATTTGTCATCAGGTGCATGCTGTAAAAATGATCTTGACAACAACTCATCGAAACCTTCATGACCCAAGCGTTCCATCGACTTGCTGGTGGTTGATCGGTGCAAAAACCCTTCTGCCATCCACAACAGAATCAACTCTTCCTTATCAAACAAATAATCTTTTGGGAACAAGGAGCAGTATGCAAACAACTGCTTCAAAAAGGCAGAAAGATCATTGTAGCTTAGTTTGAGAGCTGGAACAATCTCATCTCCCTTACCTGACTCCCATATTTTATTATTCAACAATTCCTTCCATTCTTCCTCGTCTGTTTTTGTCCTCAACAACCTCCCAAGTGCGATCAAAGCCAATGGCAAACCAGCACATTTTTCAACAATGCCTTCGCCATGTGGTTTAAGTGTTGGATGTGAATCGAAGTTACCTTCACCCAATGCATGCTGACAGAATAAAGACAGAGCACTGTCATGTGACAAAACGGAAAGGTTGTAAGGTTGCTTGTAACCGAGTTTGGTTAGCAATGACTGCTTTCGGGTTGTCATGATAATTTTACTTCCGGCTGCCCCTGCAAGAAATGGGCGTTCCAGAATTTCCCAATCGGCATAGCTTTCACTCCAAACGTCGTCAAGAACAAGAAGAAATCGTTTCTTTAAAATCTTCTCTTTTACAGCTACTTGAAGGAGGTTTAAGTCCTCAAATTCTTGGTTTCCACCTCCTATCGATTGGAAAATAATTTTGCTTATATTGAATATATCAAACTCATCAGAAACACATACCCACGCCTTGAGTTCAAAGTGATCCTTCTCTTGCATCTCATCATACACAAGTCTAGCTAGAGTGGTCTTACCCACCCCACCCATACCAACTATGGGCACAATGCTAAAGTTCCTGTCACTTGGTTCATCTCCCAGTAGCTTATGGAGCAATTCATCCTTATCACCTTCACGTCCAACAATGCTAGATGCATCTATCAAAGAGGTTTGTAATCTTCTGTTCGTATGTTTTGGGCTTTCACCTTTCACACTTAAACCAAGATTATCTTTTTCCTCTACCAGTTCTTGTAGCTTAATGGTAAGATTATCTAACGTGCTACCCATCCTACTACTTAGTGAGAAATTTGTGCAACAAGTTGGGATTATCTTTCTTAGCAAGCTGGTGGAGGCTCCAGATTCATCGGTCAACTCACGATGCATAGCTTCTGTTGCCAAATCATCAAGTAAGTCGTCTATGTCGTAAGCCAAATGTTGGAGACCATTCAGCCATTCTTTAACAGCTTCATCACATATTTCCTTCTGAGAAGCATCATTAAGCACAGCTCTGATCTGGATTAATGACCTCTTCAGTTTCTTGAGCTCAGAATCAATTCCCTTGGAGCGAGCAATCTTCTTCAAGGCTTCAGAGGCCAGCTTTTCAAAGACTGCTGTCAAGAATGAAGAAAGAACGATTTCAGCCATTGCTTATTGTGAAGACTCAAAATGGGAGCACTTGGTATGTATGTATGTATGAATTTTTGGGATGCAGATGAAATGAGTCCAGAAATAAGAACAATTTAAGCCATTCTTAATAGTGATTTCAGCCATCTTATGGTCAACATTTTATAATATATATTCCACCTCCTAGCTGGCTGACAAAATGCGATCAACCACCCCGCAACAAAAAAAGGGGGTAGGGACAACAAAACATTTACCAACCACTAGACAACATAGAAAGGGATAAGATAATGTTAGATTCTCATATAATATTAATATTATTAATCATTTTTTCCACATCAGTTGGTAATAGTTAAGCATTTTATTAATTGAGGTATCATATAGGGAACTTTGAGTTTCTATGCCCAATAGGCAATAACATCGCTTATATATGTTCAATATTATCATCTTATTAAAATCAAAATGTTCTATGTTGAGACATTTTTTGTAATAAAGATTTTTACAAATTTCAAATAACTAAAACTTTGTCTTCTTGGTTGGTAGTTTCATATATACGTACATTCTATTGAGAAGTAAGTTTTTAATTATAACAAACACTTAATAATTTTCATTTGTCAATGGGATACATCTCCACTGGTTTGTTATATTTATTTTTACTTTTGTTAAAAGTCTCATTTAATGTAAGCTTTTACACAAGATACCTACATGTATGTCAGATAATAAGATTAAAATATATCAATCTGACAGCAAGATGCTACCACTTGTAAACATATTCCAGTTCTTTTGTATTAGATATTTAGATAAATTCAGTCAAGTGACAATAATCTACAGAATATTATTGCTTCAAAGTTCAAATTTACCTTGTTTGAGTGTTTAAAATAACAAGCAAAATGGAAGTAATTGGCACATCATACATTGTTTTGCTCTTTTGTTTCTATATATATTTACTTTTTCGAAACTTATCCAGATTATATAATCTGGGTGCTGAAATGTTTGACAAAATACCAAATGAAATGTTTGACAAAATACCAAAAGTTCAAACATTTCACAACCCAGATTATACAAATCAAACCAAGAAAAACAGAATGACTCACACATAGCAGAATACAAAATCAGATCAACAATCTGATACATGAACAAAATTAAAAATACAAAACAAAAAATGCAAATTTACACTCTAATTAATCATAAAAGAAACGGCAATGTACAAAGCACAAACAGTATTAGTGTAAAAGTATGTTACCTCCTTCCAAAATGCAAAGCTAAGCAGACGAACTAAGGTCAGTGGAGGTTGAGAAATAAGAGAGCCTTGAGCTTATAAGGATGTTTAAATAATTCCCAAACCTTAAAAATTAGGGTTTGACATTCTGCCAATTACGCTGGTCGTACCCCAGCTTACGCCGCCGGGCATACCCACCCAGATACGCACCTTTCATTCAATGCATGCATGGGACCAATCTTGCAAATCTTTTCCACTAAGGACTATTTCTGCCAATTATTCAAACGGCCATAACTTATTCGTCTTAGAGGGTGTTTGGGATTGCTTATAAAAAAGGCTTATTAGCTTATTTGCTTATCCAATAAGCAAATAAGCTGGAAATGTGTTTGGGTAAATGAAAAGTGCTTTTAAAAAGGGCTTTTTGGTAAAGAAGAAAAATCAGTTTTTGAAAAGCAAGAGAATCGTGGCTTTTTAGGGCTTGTTGACTTTTTAGCTTTTATCATCTTAAAAGCTAATCCAAACACATTTTTAAAACTTTTTTTTTAGAAAAAAGCCATAAGCCAATAAACACTTTTCTAAAAAGACACTTTTAAGTATAAAAAGCACTCCCAAACACCCTCTTAGGTCCGTTTCGAACGAACTTTATATCCACAGAAAGGTGATGAGAAGCCCTACACTTCTGACAGCTCACCCTTGCCATAAAACTTCCTGAATAAAAACCCAAAACTCATAAAGAACCGAGCCGCCAAATTACAATAATACCCTTGGGCTCTGAAACACAAACGAACACTCAGATTACTTATTCCATAACACCCATATCCAAAAATGGCCAATTCCCTTCTTCTCCAAGGCCCTAAGCCTTATGATAACCAATAATCGGGCCACAGCCCTGAATAACGAAACGATTCGAAACTGGGTGTTACATATCTATATCTCACCATTTTAAATTTAGTTGGCATTTATTACGGTAGTCATCTCCTTCACACAACTCTTTGCGAAATCTTTCACGAATGTGTAGCTAGAAATGGTCAATCGATTGTGCTTTTCCTAGCTCTAAATCCTCCAAAATGTCAACCTAAGATTGTGTCAACTCTAACTCTTTTGTCGGAGTCTACGCTTTAGGCTTGCCCTTTTTTTCTCTTCCATCGGTTGTTTTCCTTTGTGACGTGGAGGGGTGAGGGGGTTGTGTTTCTCATACGACTTCGTCATCCGAGTCTTCGAGCTTTGGGTTTGAGGGTGGTAGGGTTTGGGTTTGGGTTTGATAGTGATAGGGTGGGGTTTGGCTTTGGGTTTGATTTGGTTAAAGTTGATCAGAAAAAATGAAAAAGTTGTTAAACATGTTGGGGTTACTATTTGGCACTTGTATGTGGTAGTGTTGTCAACCATTTTGGTATTGAAATTATGGAGAGGATTGAACGGGGGCTTCATGTTGGGGACAATAAACCGAGCGCGATGGATCAACAGCAAAAATGTTTCCAGTGGGCATGGCTAAACTAGAAACATAGGATTTTCTTCTCTTAGATTTTGGGGTTAGGTTGTTGGGATTATTGGGATTCATTTTTCTTAAAAATAGAGAGGAAAATGATGGAATAAGGTGGGATTTTGATTGTGGGCTAGAAGGGGTATTTATTGGGTTTTTAATTGGTAATCAAAAAATAATTGACTGTTGCCAATTAAAAAAAATATATTTTTTATCGTTGGAATATAATTCAAAAATAAAATAAATAATAAATTTCATTTTAAATCTGTAGCTAATCACAGAGAGAGTAAGAGAGATCAGGGAGAGGCTATCACACCCCCAAAACTTTCACCCTAAACCGCACCTAGGGTGTGGTGTTCCTGGGTGAGTTTTTGGCCACGGCACCTAGCGGTTTGGGGTACACCGTCCGGCCTTAGACTTTACTTTCCAAGTGCCAATGGTAGTTTTTCATCAATAAATCAAGATTAATCTTTTAAAGATCAAATACATTCAATATATTAAAAGACGAATAAAAGCAGTTAAAGTGACAATAGGATAATAACATAAAAGATTTGATAAAAGCAAAACAGAGTAACAAAAGTGCACATAATGAATGTATTTGTAGTGGTCTCATTTGTAAGAGGAAGTTAATACCATAAACTAAAGCGTGATTTCCAATTCTCGAAGTGATTCCTTTCATCCATGAATTAATGGTCTAGGCCTTGTGATTTAAAGTATTGTTGCATTTCTATTAAGGTAATCCTTCATTAAAAGCCAATACTTCTAAAATTAGACTTTCATGTATTCCCAATTGAACAACAGGCGCAGACTGGACTAGTTTTGTTGGGTGTCAATCAGATAGTATTTTTAACTATAGAAGCTAGTTTCACCAAAGAAAATATATAGTGGAAAAAGTCAAAGTTCAATTAAAAACAATATATCAAACTGTGTTTTGTATCTGGGCTATCTAATTAAACTTTGCAGAAAGCAATATGCTGTTACTAAGGTTTTACAGCTGCAAATGAAATTCAAGTTTACATGCAAAGTGTACAAATGTGTTGTGACATCAACTTCTTGGTGTTATCTATTTTTGTTCTGTCCTCAATCTACCTCTTTTTTCGGAAAAACAGATAATACTACATCAAATAACAGATATGAGTAGTACTTTTGTCGGGTATCAATCATATAGTATTTGCATGCTATTGCTTGGTTGGTGCCACCTTCTAGTCTGAGGTATTGACTATTCAAATAACTGTATCTGTATCTGCAATTCCTTGACTATGCAGCATAGGGGTCTCGTGCTAAAAACCACCAAGTCTCTTTCTCCTCGGGTTTAATTAAGTCTAGAAAAAGCAGTAATATTAGAAAAGGAATCTCATAATTTATATAAAATCTGACACCAGAAAGTAATTAATTTGACAATGAGATAAATGTATATCTTTAAAGTTTTCGACATCAAGGTTACGTTGAGGTAAATGACTAGCAAATTTCATATATTTGAGCAGCACCAGGATTTGTGTACTTAATGACTTTTTAACAACCTAGTAAGTCAAGTAACAGTTCTTTAATCATAAAAGGGTAATTCTTATAAGCATAATAGTCTTAGAGGTCTAGAAGACCCTAGCTAGCGATGGTGGAAACCTGTAAAGCAGAGGGTTGAGCATATGGTTTAGATATTGAAGTCCATAAAAAGTCAACTTTTTACCCCTAGGCACAAAAGTTTTGATGGTTGGTTGGTTTTTGCCAAATCATGTTTAGATTCGGAAAATCATTTTAACAAATCCATGAACTCAAGTTTCTTTGAGATGGAGGGTTCTGGTCATTTTATTAAATGCATCAATAGACTTGGGTGATATAAAGTATGGCCTAAAAGTTGCAATGCAATAGGTGCTCATCAACCCCAATATGTTCCTCCCTTTATAACAACAAATTCTTTTTATTAATGATCATGTTATATGCAAGAAAAAGCACCGAACTTTCATTGATTTGTTATTATAGAATCCTACATTCAATTATTCATATTACAACCTTTTTTTTTTTGAAAAATTTGCCCAATTTTAGTAGTTTAATCTGCTATGAATTGATTTACCAAAGCAACTTAATAACAGGGACAAACACAAACTGATAATAAAGTATAGATTTAAAGCTCAAACTACTGATAAACACAAGATTGCAAGACCAAAAAAAAAAAAAAAAACCCTAGCTCTTTGAGAGGCTAGTCTCTCCCAAGGTATACAATACCAGATTTCATCAAAAAGATGATTCTCTCATCCCCTGTACGTCCTAAAAGTACTATGCGTGACAAACTAAAACAATTTAAATGCCTAAATTACACCTCCACTAACA